TTAGTATAAATTTAACTGTTTATGCTTATTTCATTTTCATATCAGATTTCATTTTAATAAATAAAAAGTTAGCATAATGTTTGAGTAGATTTCTTATCAATAATGCTAAATTGCAAATATCCAAAATGGTTTATCGGACAGTTCTTGATTTCTTGTTACTCCATTTTAAAGCCTATTGTTTTTAACAGGATAAGTTAAAATATACTAGATGACTTTTATTAACCGATTATTTAGAGAAGATGTATTTCCCATAATATGGGGGAAAATATGAATAATTTAGAGATGCTAATTAGATGAGCTTATAGACACTGATTATCCCACTAACATATAACACACACACACACACACACATGCACACATACACCCCTATCAAATGATTCCACTCATTTGTGTTCAGTCATTAGCCTTATTTGCTAGCTCTTTGTTTCCCTTCAAACCTGCTTCTTGGTTATACTTAACACAAGATTTATTTTTGTAAATGACTGAGATTTATGTAAATGTGCACCTCTGTTTTGTTTTTATATGGGTTGTCAATAAGAGCATTTATCCCTATGAATTGATGTCAAAATATTTTCTTCTAATACACGTTTAGACATTTTCCAGAGGGGTCCTTGTTATTTGTAATTTAGTTAGATCATTTATTTTGTGTCTGGTCTCATTTGTTGCATGGGAAGAGGACAGCACTGATGAACTGCATGTAGTAGGACTTGTGTATCAAGAACTGTTGGTATGTATAACTAAATTTACATCCATATATGCAAATAGTTTGTCTGCATTGTACAGTTTTTGTGTTTAACATCATTTGTTATATTCACAAATACAACATGTTGAATAAAATATTTATATGAAATCATATTTAAAAACATCAAACAACTTTATGGCATTGTGCCATCCACAGATACAGAGAAATGTCATGTAAATACATTGGTAAACACAATTTCCCCCTTTACCATGCCAAAGAAAATTTTAGCTCTTTGATGATACCTCTCTTGCTGTTTTTCGGGGATAAGACTTCACCATTTTTTTTCCTCAAAAATTAATTTTTCTGTTATTAAGTAAGTGCAATCTATCATTATTGATATTCTGTATAGTAAATCTGATGGAATTTGTATTTTCAGACCGTGTGTTTTGTACCTCCATGTGCATATGTCAATTGTATTATGTCTCTATAATATCCCATTCCTTTTGCATGCATCTCTGGTATGGGAAGGTTGTTTCTACTGATTTGTTATGGTAGTTGATTGCTTCACCCAGTCCTTCAACAATGCTTGGGAATGTTAATTGTTCTGATATTCCTAGTGATATTATTTTTGTTTTCTAATAAGTTTGCTTTCTAAAAGGTTTTGCTACAACACAATTTGAAAAATTATATAGACAAGTTGCAATGATCCACCCCATGTAAAGAGTAAAATGGAATGGATCACTTCATTATGAATCCTAGAGAATCTAGAGATGCAGGAGCAAATCATTTGTTTGTCCTGAGTGTTTTGGGATGAGGATGGGTTAAGGAGTTCCACAATGGGCCCAAATGACACCTGTTTCAGTCCTTGTAATTGTTTGCCTTCTGGTCAGTAAGCAGTTTCTTTATCACTGCTGATCACTTGCTTAGTTAATGCTTACAGCACTAAAACAGTTTATTTTTCAGAGTGATTATTATCAGATTTGATTCTCTTAAAAGCAAAAAATACTTCCTTGTTCTTTAACTTAGATACATATCACTTTATTTAATGTTTTCTCCCAAATATCACAAGTATCATTAATATTTGATGCTTTCCCAGGAAGGAGCAACTAAAAAATCCAGCTTGGAAAGAAGAGAAACTTATTAAAAAATCTTTTCAATTTTATTTCCAAACTTGACTACATCAGGGGAAAGTAATTGCATTAAATACGGAATTGTTTTTCAGAATACAGTCAAATCAAACTTCAGATGTAAATTGTGATACTTTGGAGTGAAATATATTTCATAGTCTAGGTTTCTTAGCTTACAAGACGACACATAGAGCCTGATGACTCTCTTGGATAAGGTAGGGTTCCAAAGCTGTGATCATTGAGTCTGCACACAAAGGGTGAGTTATATTTGTTTTGGTTTGCTTATTTGTTTTTTCTTTGTTTTTTCTATTATTCAGCCTAATGATGTCTGCTGGCTGAAGGTGTGTTTGTCTTTCAGATGGTGAAAGCCATTCCTTGCTGCTGGAACTGTATTAGTTTAAAGAATTCAGAAAAACAATGGGGATATAATGGTCCTCCTTTTAGGCCTTTTGGACTTAGTTGAACTTTGTTCAAAGATCTTTGTCTGAGGGAGTTTTCAATGTTGACATGCCAAACAGGCAGCATAGTTCCACTTGTAAACTTGTTACAACTTTTTCAATTGACAATCCCACTGTAACTACCTAAAAGCATGGCCATGCCAATGATATTTGCATATTTTCCCACCCTTTACAAGTTTGTTCTTACCCTGCCTTTCTTTACAGGGGGTTTCTTTCTTAGTAGTAGATTCAAAAGTTAAAGTAAAAGACCACATTTAATAAGGATAGAATTTATACCTTTACATATAGCTGTTTATTTTATTTTGCAATCTAAAATATGTCAATGAAATTCCTTAATAGATGGATGTTTGGATTCAAAGCCAAAACCACACACACATACACACATTGTTATAGCAGACATAAAGAAGTAAAATTAATCTGTTTTTGTTCGATGGAAGAAAAAAAAAATCATTAAGTTGAGGTATCAAGTGATCTTTGCTGTATTTTTATTTTGGTTGTATAGTAGTTAAATGAACTCCAGAATATAGAGTGAGTGTAATATATGTTCAGCTGTGTCAAAAAATTTGGATAAAACTAATTTTGAGCTTTATGATATAATAATTTTTCCAAGATCTAAACTTTTTTATTTTTGAAGTCAAAACTGCTGAGGACATTTTTGACACTTTTCTTATATAAGAATATCAAAAGAGCAGCATTTCTGTTGTTGCTGTTGTCAATGGAAAGAAGTTACAACATAGAGAGCATTATAAGAAAAATAGGATAAACCTTATTTGATGAACATAATGACTTATTAAAGGGAGTTGCAATAAAGCAGAAATTGGCAAACTGCTGCCCATCTCTAGGCCAAATGCAGCCTTCAACCTGATTTTGTATGGTTCAGAGCTAAGAATGTTTTTTGTTTTGTTTTTTAACATTTTAAAATATTACAAAACATAAACAACATGTGACAGAGATATTTGTGACCCAAGAGTCTAAAATATTTACTGTCTTGTCCTTTGTAGAAAGCCAAGAGCTGCATTAACAGAAATTGAATATCGTCTGTATGTATTATGACAGGGGAGCAAGGTAATGAATTCTAATGTTTTTCTATCATCAAATAAGTCATCAAAATTGCTAATGAACAATTATAATAGGTTTGTTTGAAGCTTAAAATATTTAGATAGGGAAGAGAAAATAATATAATCTATATTATTTATATTTCCCTCATTTTACAAAACTGATATAGCGACATACTCAGTAATAGAGATACAACTAACGTGATTGCAATCCTTAAATCTCAGGATAGAGATAATTTTATAAATCTACTAAAATATGAGAACATCATGGGCAATTTTTAATGATTAGCCAATTAATACTACACAATCAGCATCAGCTAAATTTTCTCTTAAAATAATTTTTAATGTTAAATTTTAAGTAACTCAGTTGATGCATTTTTTTCCTTATTTTTTGGTGATTTGGCTTATGAGATCCAAGCCATGACTCTAGAATATTTACATTATTAAAACAAAATTTCCAAGTAAAAGGTTTCATCTTAAATAGTACAGAAATGGTTTTCCTATCTTATTCTAGAATTTAACAAAATGCAATTCACATTTAGGAGAGAAAAAAGAATACAATCTTTTTTAAACTAAATGATTAAAGATTGGCTAAACTAATCTGTGCAAGTAGATTTAACTGTAAATATGTAAGAGAAGTCCCAGTTGTACATTTTCATAATTCGATGTGAATTTCATATAAGGCAAAATTTCAGCGTTGAAAAAAATAAAAATTTTGTTTCTACCACTGAGTGCTTATTTGTAATTACTATTAAAGCCATATATATATATATGTGTGTGTGTGTATATATATATATATATATATATATTTTTTTTTTTGGTCCTCTCAGATTTTGAGATTGGTGCCATTTTACCATAGTATCTCTTCCTGACTTGTTTTCATGACCCTATTTTTCCAGTTAAGTAATGCATCTTTACAAAAAATGAGTGTCTTTTAAGGTAAATTAGTGTATGCCATCATAAACCTGACTATACCATGCCCATCATATACCTAACTAGATATTTTCCTTTCCAAAAGGCCAAGTTACCAAGGAACAATTTAAATAGTGAAAAATCTGTTATCTTGTACATATAACTCCTGCCCAGTATAAAAAATATGATCTCTTAGTGCTAATAGCCTAAAATGGATACCTCTGAATAATCATTTATTTCTCCTTTTCTTTAATGATGAGTAGGTAAATATGTATTGACAAAGACTGTAAATAATTTATATCACTATTTATTAAAAATGTTAAATTGTATAGTTTTCATATTTCTTTCTTCATCTTAAAATTCTTCTTTTATGAAGTTAAAGTGAGAGTAGACATATGAATTAATGGCAAAAAATGACCAGTTTTTTCCCTTCTAAAGTACCAGTGATCTGATCTGTCTCCACCCCTCTGATATTGCACTTCATATGCATTCATGTTCATTGTTCTATGGAAACCCGTGTGTGATAAAGAATTCTGGAAAAATCTGATCAATGGCTTTACAGGGAACGTATATTTCCCTTAGTCTCTATTATGTTCTTTCTTGTACAGAGATTTGCATTTCCAACAACCATGTAATTCAGGGTTTCTCAACTTTTTAGCATTATTGACATTGGGAGTCAGATAATTCTTTGTTGTGGGGCTCTCCTGTACATTTAGAATATTAGCAGCAGCCTTGGCACTCACTAGATGCCTTTGCACCTCCTCCACCAGTGTAAAAATCAAAATTGTCTGCAAACATTCCCAAATATCTTCTCTGGGCAAAATTGTCCTGGTTGTGAACCACTGATATAATTGTAGGGGAAAAATTCTCTCTAGTGCTATCTGTATCAGAGTTTGCTGAACTTATTTCTAATGGGTGGCCAAATTTCATCTAGGCATTCAGAAATAGAAAAACATACAATAGTCTGTTTGACCTGTTCTAGTGGTGATTATACATGGTTTCCTTGGCATGCATATGTTCTAATGGCCTAAAAACATGAAGATTCCAGTCCTCTCCTGTGGAACTGTTAAGGATAGTCTGTGCCAAGCCATATCTCACAAGCATTTCCATTCCAGCCATCCCAGCATTCACAGTTTCCACAGCTACATATTCCATTCCCTGCAACAAAATATACACAGGAATCATTATTATGATCTAAATGCACCAAGTTAAAATGTTACAATAAATAATAGCTTTCCAAAATAAAAACCATTTCACTTATCTTTAACAATTTTCTTGTTGTGCAGAGAGAGGTCTTTACATTTTATTAAGCAACTATGGGAACTCTGGTGGCATAGTGCCTAAAGCATTTGACTGCTAACCAGAAGGTTGGTTGTTCAAACCCACTAGCCACTCTTCGGAAGGAAGATTGGGCAATCTATTTCCATAGAGATGCCGCCTTGGAAACCCAAGGAGGGGTCACTATCAGTCAAGTTTAGTTTTTGCGCTCATATAGGATCAATCAAGCAGTGACCGTCCTGTGTCGTCGTAGCTGAGCTCACATGTCATATTTTTGTTTTCTGTTAGAGAACAAGTTACATCTTATGAATAAATACTGAAAAAACCCATACAGCTGATTGACATAATACATGGCAAGTCAAGAAATCGTCTAGAAGAGGAACCTTGTAAGAAGGGCCAGAAAAGTTTGTATCAAATCAAATGCCCCTAATGGCACACACAAATATCTACCTTTTACCTTAAGCTGGAAGCCAGGAGAACAAACATGTATTTCTCTATTTCCCTTCGAACTTGTTAATCAATTATATTTACAAGAAATTATTAAGTCTCAGCAATGTAGAATACCAGTAGATATTACACAGCTAAGTCTGTTTCACAACCTCTGCACAGACACACACACACACACACACATACACACACATCATTCCCTAAAAACACCAACCAATACCTCAACCATCTTTGAACTATTGGTACCTAGGTCCAGTTTAAAGTGCTATTCTGTTCCTTCCACCATGCTCAAAGTAAAGTGGTTATCAAGGCAAGTCTCCTCTTTTCAATATATCCCTTCATAATTGTGACTTTTGGAGGTCAAGGGAGGAGAGAGAAACTACTTTGTGGGTATTTCTTAAAGTCATATAATTTGATATCATTCTCTTGAATTCTTCCATTCCTGGGAATAATTGGCTTTGATAATAAATCAAATGCCCCAAAACCAAAACCAAACCCTCTGCCGTTGAGTTGATTCCAACTCATAGCAGCACCCATTGGTTTTGCCAGGTGGTAAATCTTTATGGAAATAGATTGTGCCCCATCTTCCTTTCATGGAGTGTCTCATGGGTTTGAAGCACCAACCTTCTGGTTAGCAGTCAAATGCCTTAGACACTGCACCACCAAAACTCCTTACATAGTTACTTCATATTAAGAGATGGATCTTTTTTTTTTTTCTTTCCAATTTCTCACTAAACTTTTAATTTATTAATTTATATCTACAGAGATTCCTGGTTTCCTGTTTTATTCAGGGGGCTATAATTTCTTACACTCATTATTATTTTGATATCAAATTGTCCTACATTTGGTCTGTGGGAAGCCCTTCAAGCATTCTTCTGTATCCTTTTAAAATGTCTCTGTGATTGTCCAAGGACTTTATTACTTTCTAAGATGTTCCAGTCTCATCTTGTACTTTCCCTGTTCCAGACTTGGAATCAGCCAATTAAGAGATGGATCTTGATTAATGGAAGTCCTTCTGTTCCTCCATCTAAAGCATTCTGTGGAGGGTATAATTTGACTTTATTGTAAACTGTGGAATAGAATGATAAAGAATGGATCAATACTGCACCTGTACAAATGAGACCATCATGCTTGTCACAGTCCCTGTCATCACAGTCGCAGAGTTCCCCTGAAACATACCATTCCTGGGTGGAACAAATGCACTTTCCACAGTGACAAGCACCTGAAATCATAAAACATATTGCTCACAGACACCATGTACCTAAAGGTTTTCAGTCTAGAATAGAATACTGTCAATGCACTGACAAAGGTAAAAGCCTATTGAGTAGGCAGTTGCTCAGAGGGGAGCTTTGCTTATTGTAATTCACAAAGATTATCCAGGAAAGGCTTCATCATAGATCTAGATAGTTGCAATTAGTCTTGAGCAGATGTTCCATGGCCTAGTCTGGTTAAAATATCAATGATGGTGAAATGTGGCTGATTCTTATAGAAAGCCTTCCAAAAATGAGTTAAAAAATAAATATCTTTTCCCTAAGTGGAATTTTTATGCTTTAAAAGTGTTGTTTTTAAAGGAATCTAATAGTAAATTCTATTAAATGAAGATGCATCTTCTAATCAAAATACCTTCTAAATTATTGTACTTATAATTTTAGATTTTTGTTTGTATGAGTTTTTTAAAGTAGGGACACACATGCATGTAGAGTAGCTAAGTGAATTGCCAACAGACCACACACAGTAACTCACATATATTTTACTTTTCAGACATTATCCTCAGGATTCCCTGCCATAATCAGTCCCGTTGAAATGCCCACCCTTTATGAGGTTCTACATTTGACCACCCTTCCGATTATTTCTTACCTTTCTCCTCTTATTCATACCTAATTATAAAATTTCTTCTTCGAGTATTAAAAATATATTGGGTTACTGCAAAATAACTCTATTAATGTTATCTTCAAAAAGAAAGAAAATATATTAATTAAATGCTCTCACATAGCGAAGAACATTCTCTCAATCTAGATGTCATTAACTTATAAGTTACAAATCTTCATATGTAAAAATTACTTCTATGACTGCAGTAAAGACAACTGGGAAGGCTGGTAACTTTAAAATTAAGTATGCGCATGTCTATGTATGCACATGTGTACACACACACACAACTTCCCGTTTCTCATAGTTCCTAGAGTTGCTTGTTCCTACCAAGTATGCTTCCCTTTCACTAAAGATGTTATCATTAACATTTCAGGTCAAAAATCAGTTTAAAAGAAAATACAAAGTATTTTGACATATTTAACAAAATTCCAGCCTTGGTAATTCAAAATGTATTGGAGGAGAGGAAAGCAGGAAATAATCTAAACTACATAGTATTTAAAAATAGGTTAAGAATTCGAGTGATTAAGAAAAGAAAGTTATAGTCATAATTTTATGAAAAGAATCATGTAAATGTGTCCCAAGCATCAACGCAATGTAATGTCATGGAAACTGGTACAAGCATTTTAGCTACAAGAATCCCCAATGACCAAATGAAACTCTCACCATTCCTTGTCAGGGAGATAGATTTATATACTGAGAATTGTGTTTCCCATTACTTTTAACTTCTTGCTTGACCACAGAATGATTTTACTTTTTTTCGACTTACCTTTCTCAGCAGCTACACTGATTTTCATGCTTTTGGGTAAAATCTAGACGTCAGTACTGCTGAGTGATTGACAGCCTGGTTGGTTCTCAGGACCCAGTGAGCTGGCCCTCCCAAGTCAGTCTGCAAGGGATGGTGGCTCCCTCTTGATCTCATCCAGGTATAGAGTTCTCTTATTTTATAATTTTACTTATTCTAACTTTAAAGACTTTCTTTCAAATTTCTAATCATAGAATTGTTCAGCAGTCAACTGTTTATTTAACAAATCATTAGCAAATATCTACCAGTGAAGAAAACTTGTGGGATTTCAATGACTATCAGAGAACGTTACTCAGAAAGCACCATGCATAGGGTTTTATTTCCATCACTCGAGGAAGATGATTTATTTGAAGAATTTTCTTGGTTTTAGTTGTCTTTTAAAAAATATAACCTTTATACTGCAAAACTCATTTCTACAAGAGTAAATGATTTTATATGCCAGTATTCTCCATGGTATTCATTGAATACACTTAGAATAGCTTTTATTTATATTTAAAAAATTGTGTTACAATTCATGAACAGATCTCATGTTCCTTCTTAAAACTTAACCCCTGGCTTTAGAACTGTTCCAATATCTGCTCTTCCTTCTGGAATGCTTAGCTTCAAGCCATGGCAAAGTCCTTTCCTAAATGTGGTAAGCTCACCTAGAAGATAACATGGTACATATTGGTAGACGATTTGATGAGTCAATTCTACTTCCCAAAGTTATTTGTAACTGAATTTTGGAAAGAAAAAAAAAAATGGGGACTGACTTTGTGCCTTGGAACACTAGCTCTCCTCAAGTCAGCCTTTCCCCGAGCTGTGCTGCGCTTTGCTGATTGTCAATGCTCTGTAGCTTAGAAACAGAAAATTCTTCTACTGCTTGTGATACCAGGAATCACACAGCATATAATAACAGCACAGTGTGACAGTTATTAGGACTTGTTATAGCACCTTCTTATAGAGAACTCTGGTTGTGTCAATCAAAAACAGGGGTTATATTGCCCTTTCAGGATAGGGATACATTCAGGAAGGGGATGCTGTCAGACAGACATAGGCTGCACAACTACTGAAAGGTGAGTAATTGATCAGCTCAGTTGGCTGGGACCCACTCACCCTCCTGATACTCAGTTCAGCCCAGGTGGGCAGCTGGCTGATCTTCGCAGGAGCTCTAGAGCTAAGGCTAATTTTGTAAAGCAGAACGTTGGCCCTTTCTCTTCTCTGGAATGATGGAGATGGGGTGTGTGTGTGTGTGTGTGTGTGTTTGTGTGTGTTCATGCACTGTTGACTTATTTGGATGATGTGGTACCTAACAAGTACCATCGAGAGAGTTTATGAAAACATCTTCTGACATGTATGTAAAGTCATTGCCAAGCAACAGCATCTTTAAAGGTATTTAAAGTGATTACTTGGATCAGGTGGAAGCAATCAAGGCAAAAGTGTTATTGTGTACTCTGCCATCCAAATAAATAAATTCCCAAATAAACAAAAGCCTATGAATTCTATCATCATGTATTCTGTAAAGGTAGCTAAATTTAGGGCAGACCTGGCCACTAAATTAATCTCTTTTGGTTATTCACAAAAAAATTTGAGCCCAAGGGCAAAGCACCTTTGTTAGTTGCCTCATTGATCACATCGACATTTCTTTTCCACTCATCAAGTCTGGCAAAATGCTGCAACCTGACATCCCAGCAGGCAGTTCTCACTATTGTACTAACTACTCCATGTGTTATGAAGGTCACAACAATGTATCTTGTTTTAAATTTTTCTATGGAGTGATTTATTGTCTTGGCTATAAATTTGTAAAGAAATAAAACGCTATTTCTTCATCGTCTCCTGAGGTGACGGCTTTATTCACAGCTCATGGGAAGCATTTCAGACTTGTTTCTATGTGGAAACACTTGGCTGTGCATGGTCTGTTAAGTGGTGCACCATGGTGCTTTCAAGACCCACTGTTCACACCTGCCTGAGAATCAAGAGAGAGGAAACACTCCAGATGTCATTTGTGATAATTGGGGTGAAGGGTTTTCCCTGAAGAGCTTAAGAAAATTTGTAGGGGATTCTGAAAAAAAAAAAAAAAATGACATCTATCAAAAAATAAATGGTCCTGGTCAAATAATTGGAACAGGTTTCTCCTTTCTGCTATCATGTTGAAGATTCTTGTTCCACTTCATGAGTTGCTTTTCCTGTGGGTCTCACGGTAGGGCTGTTGTTGTTGTTATGTGCCGTCGAGTCGGCCCCGACTCATAGCGACCCCTCCTTGGGTTTCCGAGGCAGTTATCACTACGGAAGTAGGATTGCCCAACCTTCCTTCCGAGGAGTGGCTGGTGGGTTTGAACCGCCAGCTGTCTGGTTAGCAGGCAAGTTTCTTAGCCTCTATGCTACCAGAGCTCCCCACGGTAGGGCAGGGGGTGGTAATCTCCAGAGTGACCAAGAGTAACTTGACCATCCCCACAATCCTCTTTGCCTACAATAGATCACAGTTCCATTATCTTGGTCTTAGTCCCTTTCTTCTTCTATAACCCAATATCTCCAGAATAGGATGAAAAAAAGCAGCCAGCGTCCAACTGTCGCCACCATTTTGAATGCTCACCATGGTTGCAATGTGTAACCGCGTGCAACCTTGAGGTAGCTGTTACATTCCCTTCTGGATTTAAAGACTCTAAAACTCTCCACTCTTTAACCACTAAAGGATACACACATGTTTTAGGGCATATATGCTTTTCAACCCTTTGCTGATGTTTGGATATGTTTCTACCATCCAAAGCAAGCAATTTGAAACAGCAGTAACTAGAGAGTCTCTTGTTCTGTTTTATTCAGGGCTTCAAATCTGTTTGGAATATATTTTTAAAACTCAGGACACTCCCTCTGATTTTATAACATTTTCTTTCTTTCTTCATCTTCCTCCTCTCACAGGTTAATTCCTTCCCTGCCTACTTCCCCTTTATAGTTCTCTCAAATTCCTTCCCTTTGACACACTTTGCCTCTCCCTTCTAACCTCTTTTCCCTGCTTTATTGGTTCTACCAGCAAAGCTTCAACCCAAAGCAGGCGTTTTTAGGTGCCATGGCCCCCAGAGAACAAAACTAGTGCAAGATTTGTTTGGGGCTTGGATTAGATTCAATGTAACAGGGGAACAAACAAGGAACAAACTGATTTCTTTAAACTCAATTAAACCACCTGACTACTGTAATTGGATTAGGTTGAAGGCTTCTTTTTCTAAGAGCTGAAAATACAAATGCTAAGCACAGATTTTCTGAAAATCAAGGACATGGTTGTCTATTGAAATAGGTACGTTTGTATCAATTTCCAACCACCCTCCTGTACCATATGTGGTCACAGCATCCATTTGCTTTTATCTTTGATGTTCTGTCCAAAACAAAACAAAACAAAACAAAAAACCCTTTCAACCTGATAGCATTGGCATTGAGGGATGAGTTAAGTAATATCTGTCTTTTAGGGCTACATTACCTATGGCACATCTTGTTCCAAGTCCTCCTTTGTCTACCCCAGTGTCATTAGTGGGGTTCTATAATGACATTATTCAGTCTGTAATTCACATTTACTCCACTCTGTCTTCCTCAAAAAGGTATTTAAATGCTAATCATGACACAGGGTAGATGTTTAATGGTAGATGCAGATCTAGCCAAGGCTGTGTGATGCTTGAAAAGACAGGTGTCTGCCTACAAAGGGCCACGGAGGCTACTGAGCTGAAAAGAAGAGTGGAGAAACTCCCTAATATACAGTTCCATGCAGGTCAGTGCCTAAAGATTGGTGGGAATCCTACATACTTCCTGTGGGTTTCTTCTTGTTGTTGTTATGTGCTGTGGAGTCGGACCTGACTCACAGCGACCCCTCCTTGGGTTTTCAAGGCAGTATCACTACAGAAGTTGGTTGCTCAACCTTCCTTCCTGGTGGGTTTGAACCACCAGCCTTCTGGTTAACAGTCAAGTGCCTTAGGCACTAGGCTACCAGAGGTTTCTGGGCACTAGTAAAGAGGAACTTCTTAGATGTTACCCATGCATCATGGCAGCATTACTTTGAAAGTTCCTTCAAGAAACTTACACTGAAAAATCAAAAGCAAGGTGTCTGCAATTTAATTTAGAAATAATCTTTGTCCCCCAAAATAAATCTGGCCTAAATGTAAGTGTGTGTGTATGTGTGTGGTTGGGGAAAGGTATTGGGAAGTGTTACTTTTCCCTGAATCTGTTTCTGTGGTTAATGTTTGACTGGGTTGGGGACTTTTAGCCAATCAACTAGTGGGTTAAAAATCAAGTGACAGACTTTTTTTCATTATTTTTTTAATATTAGCTTGCACATGCACATTTGCAATAATTGGTGATTTTCAGTGCAAAGAAAATTGCATCAAAATTTTCAAACTTACATACTTTTTCCTTTTTCTTTTGTTTCAGAAACTAAACATGCAGTCTTCTTTTATGTCATTCTAAGACCTTAGATCCCCTCTTTCACATACCTATATCTATGTAATTTACCCTCAGAAGTTTCAAAAAGCATATTTGCTGTCAGTGCAGTCACTTGTGATTAGTTTTCTGCAGCTCTGGGCTGTGTTATTCCAGAAGGGACTGTAGAAAGTATCCTTTTGCTTTTGATTTTTTATTGTTGTTCCATTAAGTGTTAAATATATTATATTGTTCTTTCTTTATATTTCTTTTTTATTTTTGTAAGATCATTAATTCTGTTTCATTCAGCAATGATATAGCTTACAAGTAATTGATAATCTTTTTGTATGAAACTAATCTCATGCATTTCATTTTCTTAGTTTTCTTGGATCCTAAGCATCGTGGTCTATTTTCAAGTTTAAAATATGGCACAGGCTGAGAAGGACATGGTTTTCATTCACCCACAGTGCAGTCTGGAAAAGATGGTTGCTCCTTGCTGGTCTACAAGCCATGAGTCAGAACAGGAATCCAGTCCAAGCATCAGCAGAGATACTCACCCTTTCCTGCAGAGATACTCACCCTTTCCCGAGCACAACATGCCATCTGCTGACTCACACAAACTCTTGCTTTGTTCTTCCGTCATGTTGCACTTCTGCGGATGCTGGCAGAGTGTCCCGAACCATCCCTTCTCACAAACACAGCGACCACAGGAACATGTGCCATGGCCTGTGAAGCAATAAGAGGGAGGGAGCAGGAGGCACGTGGGTGGGGGATGAGAGGAGGAGATGGGTGAATAACCAACTGAATAAGAGGCTTTAAAAAGGAAATATATAAACCCCAGGATCTTATTTTCTACCAAACACCCTTTTCCCTTATACATAGTCAGTTTGGCATGTAATTGTTTAAAAGAACTTTACAACAGAGCTCTAGCTTCATATAATAAATCTGCATGAAGGTAGCTTAGGTGATGGACTCAAGAGAAAAAGAAACCTTGGAGTATTTAAAAATGGAATTTACTATCCTTTTTTGATAGAAAATACTTCCTCATCTACATTTTCATCAGGATGAAGTCTTAGTGTTATTCTGCATTTTGTGCATCATGGCATCCATGATTACAAGGCTACTCACGTTACCATTACTTGCAGTGTTTATTGATTGCTCTCCTATTGCTTGGTAATAAAAACAAAAGGTTTACTTCCATAGCATTGACATCCAGCATTTTATTACCTTACTTTCTAGTCACTAATAAGAACAGATATGCGTGTAAGTAATGACTTCATTCAATTATTATTGGATAAAATTTTAACACAGCATGAGGCTTGTATTAACACATGGCACATTTTTTCCCCTCTTTTTTGTTTCTGACATTGGTTTTCATGATCCATTTATTTTGTGATATATATACAACATAGTATTTGTGACAATTATATATTGGCATATATACTTGCTTGTTATCCACATGCCATTAGATTGTATCATCTTCCTGCCTTACTCCCAAAGGCACATATAGCCCTCATTCAGACCAATCAACCTCTCTGAATCTATTGACACCATGTGTCTTAACTATTTGCTTTGCCTGACCCTCAAGAGTAAACTTTGTTCCAATCTTCCCCCTTCTACACTCAGCTCCTCACAAGGAAGGATCAATTATTTGCAGTGCATTGTTTGGATGAATTAATTTAACCACCTATGAATCCAGGTAAGGTTTTTCTATAACACGATCATCTGGAAGTTAAAAGACAGCAAATAGAAGACTAACTCAAGAGAGAATTGTATTAAGCAACTTATTTCTAATAGTCTCTTATCCAGATGCAGTTTAATTGTATTTAATCTCATCACAACCCGCTGAGTCAGGTATTATCTTCATCTTAACAGTCAGGAAACTGAGGCTCAGAGAGATCAAGAAATTTCTCCCTCAAATCACGTAACTCAACTTCACAGGGTCAAAATTTGACTGTAGTTGTTCTGACTTAATTCCTACTCTTTTTTCCATTGTGTCACATTCTCTCTAACCACATTTGCAAAATAAACAATGACAAGGGAGCTGTGGTAGTGTGGTGCTTAAGGCACTTGACTGCTAACTAGAAGACTGGGTGTTCAAACCCATCAGCCACTATCAAAAAGGAAGGTTGGGCAATCTACTTCCATAGTGTTATCACCTCGGAAACCCAAGGAGGGGTCGCTATGGGTCCGATCCGACACCACGGCAATGGTTGCGTTTTTTGCATTTAATAATTTGAGATATCTATACACCAAAAACAAAGAGAACCAAAAAACAAACCAATTGCTGTCAAATTGATTCTAACTCATAGCGACCCTGGAGGACAGAGCAGAACTGCTCCATATGGTTTCAAAGAGTGTAAATTTTTACAGAAGCAGACAGCCACATTGTTTTTCCCCAGACCAAATGGTAGTTTCGAACCACTAATTTGTTAGTAAACAGCTGAGTGCTTAACCACTGTGGAACCAGGGCTCCTTGATACTTCCATGGCCTTTTCCTAATTCCTATGCTTTTGAACTGCTGTAGCATTTGAAAGTATACATTTGACATGCATGGACACTTTCTCCTTAAAACTATTTCCTATAATGACATGATGCTCTACTCTCCTCACCTCTTCAACAATCCTCCCTTGCCTCTTTATACTTTCTGATACACACACAAAAAGTATATAAACCCAATCATCTATCCTCAATCATCTTTTATCTCTATAATATTTCCTTGGAAAATTCATCAAATGACAGAATTAAAGATCACAAATCACAGTGATCACAGATCTTAATCTCTAGTTCCCAAACCTCTCACCAGCCTCCATTCCTGCAGTAACATACTTTGTGTCCTATTAGTACCCTAAATGCATAATTCTGGATCTACATATATAATTATATTTCCAAAGCTACTGTTCTCTATTACCTGTTTTTTTTTCCCCCAATGGAACTACCATCCTTCCAATTAACCAGTTCAAAAAGTTTTGTTCTTATCTGAATTTCCCTTACTCTCCTCATCTAAAGAGTTGTCATGTTCAGTTGAAGCTATCTCCATACTATCCACTTATATCACCCTCTTAAACCTTGGAAAAAACTTTCTAGCATATCCTTCTCCTTCTCTGATATTCTTACTCACAACTTTCTACTGCACAACTCTGCTCACATCACAGCCTGCTTCTCCAGTCCTTTTTGACTCCTAATGCTTATGGTGTTCAACTGCTAATTGAAAATTTGTAAGTTTGAATCCATCCGGAGTCTACATGGGAGGAAGACTTGGTAATCTGCTTCTACAAAACCAAAACCAAACCAATCTCACTGCCAGCGAGTCCATCCCCACTCATAGAGACCCCTCCTTGGGTTTCCAAGGCAGTATCTCTATGGAAATAGATTGTCCAATCTTCCTTCCAATGAGTGGCTGGTGGGTTTGAACTACTAGCCTTATGGTTAGCAGTCAAATACTTTAGACACTATGCCACCAGAGCTAAAGAAACAAACAAACAAACAATTGTCAAGTCAATTTCAGCTCATAGTGACTCTATAGAACAGAGTAAAACTGCCCCATAGGGTTTTCAAGGCTATAACCCTAATACAGAAGTAGACTGCTGCATCTTTCTCCCATGGAGTACCTGGTAGGTTCAAACCACTGATCTTGTGGTTAGCAGCCGAGCACTTAACCACTGCAACACCAGACTTCCTTCCATAAAGGTTGTTGTCATCTGTGCTATGGCAGTCAGTTCCGACTCATAATGACCATATATGTACAACAGAATGAAACACTGGCCAGTCCTGTGCCATCCTCACAATTGTTGCTATGCTTGAACTCATTGTTGCAACCCCTGTGTCAATCATTTCATTGAGTCTTCCTCCTTTTTTCTGATGCTCTACTTTACCAAGCATGATATCCTCCTCCAGGGACTGGTCCCTCCTTACAACATAAACAAAGTACAAGACGTGAAGTCTCACCATTTTTGCTTCTAAGGAACATTGCAGCTGTACTTCACCCAAGCCATATTTGTTCATAGTTCTGACAGTTCATGGTACATTCAATATTCTTTGCCAACACCCCATTTCAAATGCATCAATCTTCCTTAGTCTTCCTTATTCACTGTCCAGCTCTCACATGCATATGAGGCTATTAAAAATACCATGGGTTGGGCCAGGTGACTTCTTTGATATCAAAATGAAATCTTTGCTCTTCTGCAATTTAAAGAGGCTTTGGCAGCAGATTTACCCAATGCCAGATGTCATTTGATTTCTTGACTGCTGCGTCCGTGGGTGTTGATTGTGGAGCCGAGTAAAATGAACTCTTTGACAACTTCAATCTTTACTTCATAAAGATTACAGCTAAGAAAACCCTACACGGTCTTTCTGCTGTGTCACATAGGGTCACTATGAGTCAAAATCAACTTGACATCACCTAACAACAACAATAATGCTTATGAGAGGACCTGGGTGTCACACAATGTTTGCATCAAACTGTAACTGACAGGTTGGCAGTTCAAATTCACCCAGTGGTGCTGTGAAAGTATGGCCTGGTGATCTATTTTCTCAAGATTACAGTCACTGAGAAACCTATAGAGTGCAATTCTACTCTAAATCATGTATCTTCTTCTTGACTCAGAACTGATTCAACGGCAACAAGTTTGGTTTGATTTTAATGCTTATAGGATGGAGTTCACCTACTTTAATTTAGCCTTCATTATGTTTTAGTCTCCTGCCACATAGCGATTGAAAATACTTTTCTACAATTTCTCCTTCTCTCTTTCACTTCTTGATCTAAACAAACTGATCATGTTCCTTGTATAAAAATTTTCCATGTGTTTCTGACTTGATGTCTTTGCTGAGGTAAGAATGCCCTACACAGGTAAGTCCTGCTTAATTTTCAAAGTTCACAGAAAGTGACAACATTTCTGTGAGGTTTTTTTTCCTAATCTGAATTTCTATATAGTCACCCTTCACTTATTGACATATTTAGGTTCCAAAACCCATGCTATTATGTGAAAATTGGCATTATGTGAACATGGAGGATGACCATATTAGATCATAAAATGGAGGATGAATCATTAAGTAACTGCCAAGTTACATCATTACATAATTGGGAAACTGCTGAGAATCATGGCCTTGCCAAGTTATCACATGGCCTTAACCATCACAGCCAGTGTTAATTCTCACCTCACACCTTAGCGCTTATCACTACCAAACATAGGTTGTTAATGTATAAAATAGATAGTAGATTTTATACTAGTGTTGTAAATGTGAAATATTACATAGTGAGATAGTTGACAAATGAGGAGTAGGTGTACTACTTATTTTTCACCTCTACTGTGGAATTTTTTGTCTTCCACTTTGTGATATGTAGTGATTTATCAAGTAAATCTATTACTTGATTGTTCACATCACAACCTTGAAAGTACAAATCACTTCAGATTGATCATTGTAGTCTGAAGAGTGTCAAGCATGCTGCTATACACATAGTAGGTCCTCAAAAAAACACTTATAAGTGGAAGTTATTTTTAACAAAAACTCCCTCTCATTTCTTATTCATAAATCTCAACTGAAAGCCCTAACATGGAATGAGTTATGTTAAAAAACAAAACAAAAATCTGAATCCAGGACATACTTACAGATCTTCCAGATAATGAGCTATTGCTCAAGAACAATGGATACTTCTTGAATTGTCTATTTTATTTCTACTTTCTGTAGAGTGAATTTAGAGAATTGGTGCTCCTTAAGGGCCTTCT